ACCCGGATTGTTGTTGGGGGCAATATGCTGACTCTGTAAACCGCTTAGAGAGGGCTGAAAGCCCTATGAAGCGGTATATAAGCCTAACTGCTATTATTTACTTTTTTTTTGCTAGCCTTCTCAATATCAGAGTTTCCCATATTGCAAGCAATAGCCCTCCAAAGCTGGAAGTGACGGAGATATTTCTCCTCTAAAATTAAAGCTCAAACCTCAGACTTATAAAGTAATAAGTCCTATGGTCCTTGGGTTACCCTCTCAGAGGCTAAAGGAGGATGTTTTTAACACTCTTGTTTTTAAAATACGTGTCCGCTTGGAATACAACAATAAATGAAAAACACGCTTGAAACCACCCCATCCTTTGAGATCACAAATAGGTAAAATGGTCCTTACCAAGGCCCTCCCGTGGTGCCCTCTCTGCAGATATATCTGGGTGGTGTCCACTAGAACCAGTACCATTGATATCTCAGGGGAAAGCCTGTTAGGTGTCTTCTCATTCTTCACTTCAACTCTGAAAGATGGTAAAATCTTGGACATTGGGCACAGTTCCACCAAGACGTACATAGAGGTGCCTTGGAAGCTGTACGGTTGTCCGTCAAAGGTGGTGTAGTGAAGAAATCCAGAAATTTGACATGTGCCATCTGCCAACGTGTGGCAACCATACACTCCCTTCTGAGCGCCACAGAATTGTTCCAGGCCGCAGAAGGACCCGTCAGCTTCAATGGCAGAGATGGCGCCATCACACCGATACTTTTTTTTACAGTTTTCTCCTTCCAGGAAGAAGGTTTCCCCTTTCAAGTAATACCGTCCGTTGTAGGTGCAGCCACACCGTTCCCACGGCACGCAGTCCGTGCCACTCAGCACAAACCCCGCTTCACACTGGCATCCTTCTACGCACGTGTTCTGGAAACAGTTTGGAGGTCCAGTGGGTTGGGTGCAAGAGGCAGGGCAGGGAGAACCGCAAAAGACGTAACGGCTGTTCTCCGGGCAAGTCAACTCTAAATGCAAAAGATTGAATGGTTTGTTTTAATGCCAAAGACAGATTTTGGAATTAATATAATGGGGACAAAGGAGTAGGAAGAGTAATGAAAATTATTTTTGCAAGATCCAATCTGCGTCGGTCGCTGAGACCAGAGGTTTGGTCTTCCGAGCTTTTGAACTTGTGCTGGAGCCCATCTTCAGGGAACGTCTCTCTACTGAAATATGTGCTTTGGGCTATTCGTATTTATGTGGTACCTTCAGTGGTGGGATTCAACCAGTTCGCACCTATTTGGAAGAACTGGTTGGCAACTTTCTAAGCAGTTCAGAGAACCGATTGTTGGAAGAAATCTCCTTTTGTTTTTTCCCCCACTTTACAGGGCTCATCCTGTAAGGAAGGCAGGAAGGAAACATTCTNGGTGGAAATGCCAGCGTGGCAGTGGAAGATTGGACCATGTGATGGACTTGTGGGTGTGGGGACAAGATCATGAACTTTCAACTGGGTGGGAACCCCAGGAAGTTTTCAGATTCAGGTTTACCGCAGATGTGCCCACATGTCTCTCTTAATAAATTGGAAGTTTGAGGAAAGTTCTGCCTTGGACTCTGATTTAATTTTACAATGGCACTGAAAAACATGACCTAGGACTATTTATCATACTTACAACCATTGCAATATCCGTGGGTGGGCTTCAAATTTTTTTTAGCAAGGGGTTCTCTACCCAGTTGTTGGGTGGGTGTAGCCATGGTGGGCATGGCCTAGTTGGTCTCCTACCCCACAGCAAGTGGGTTGCCCTCCCTGGGCTCCAGAGGCTTTCTTCGAGGCTCCGGGAGGGCAAAAACAACCCCAGGCTCCGGAGGCCCTCTGGTGGCCAGAAATGGGCTCATTTTCAGCCTTCCCGAACTTCTGGTAGGCCCGATTTTTGCCTTCCCTGAGCCTCCCCGAGCCCTGCATCCAAAACTGGCCACCTGGGGATGCTGGGGATGGGAGGGGCAGGGTGGGTGTGGCCAGCCAGGAGTGGGATTTGGGAGTTACCCGAACTGCACAGAATCTTAGCTAGAGGTTGTCCTGAACCCCTGCGAACCCCCAGCAGCGAACTCCTGGCAATATCCCTATGGTTTCATGATCAAAATTTGCGTGCTTGGCAACTGGCATGTAATATGTATTACATATGTATTTATGATGGTGGCAGTGTCCTGGAGTCCTGTAATCACTTCTTGCACCCCTCTGACAAGAAGAGTCAGTGGGGAAGCCAGGTTCACTTAGCAACCGTATGACTTCACTTAACAAGTGCCGCGATTCACTTAAGAACTGTCTTGCTTAGCAACAGAAATTCTGGGTTCAGTTGTGGTCATAAGACAAGAACTACCTGTAGTATCTGGGTCTCTTAACCTTCCCCATTTCACCACACTGACCTTTGGTTCAAAAGGAGAACTTGACTTACATTGTAATAACGGCCATTGTGTTCGCAGCCACACTGCTCTTGCCGAATGCACTTGTTCCCACTCCATAAGTATCCTGCATCACAGACGCATCCTTCAGCGCACAGGGGGTTGCAGAGATGCATAAATGTGGCCCCAGCACAAAAACCCTGGCAGGGTGGCTGGCAGAGTTCATAATGGCTGTTGGCTGGGCAATCTGGATCTTTAAAGAGAGAAAGGGCGGGGGAATCAGTAATTTTGCTAGTGATGCTATCCAGGAGAAGACAGTCTTTCAAAACCAGGGGTGATGCTATTTGATGCATATTTGTGGGTTTTATTTTAAACAACAACGATGTGGCTGTCAGCGTTCCAAATATCATCCAGAATTACATCAGAGTTCAAGACAAAACCTTCATCAAAGTTCCAATTTAATAAGACAGACATGTTGGTACATCTGTGGAAAACCCGAATCTGAAAGCTTCCTGGGTTTCCACCCAATTGAAAGTTCATGATCTGGTCCCCACACCCACAAGTCCATCNCCGGTTCTCTGAACTACTCAAAATTTCCGCTACCGGTTCTCCAGAACCAGTCAGAACCTGCTGAATTCTGCAGGGGATTCAGCAGAAGCAACAGGGGATAGTCTGAAGTAGTGGGACACATTTAATTCTTCTGGTGACCTGGGAAAGAAGCCCTCTGAAGTTGCTTTGAGCTCTCTTGAAGAAAAGATAAGGATCATAATAGATTAACTAGGCATAATAATTAGAGGTCAAATTAGAGTTAAGAACTGGATATATAGAACCGAATCTCACATTTCCTGTATCTCAATATTATGAGAACATGCTTTGAAAAGCTCAGATTCAATCCCAAGTCAAGTACGTCTTGTACTTGGGAAAACTACCCGTTCTAACATCAGAGTGATAGATTTCTTTATCCTTTACATTCTTCCATCATGGTGGACAAAGTCACTACAGTTGGTTAACTAATTTATTTGGGGTTTTTTGCATTGAAATTCTTCACTGATGCAGAATCATAGCAGATAAGAATTGGAGGGACCTATATGTGCTCTTCCCTACTCAGTTAGATATAGAAAAGTACAACATCCCAACAAATAGGATTTCAGCTCCTTCTTGAAGACTTTCAACGAAGTTGAGGTCAACATCCCATTAGATAATTTCATTGTCAACCTTCTTTTATCACTAAAAATGTCTGATAAGATTCAGTTAAAATCTGGTATCCTATCATCTCAATAAATAACATATCTTTGCTCATATATACTCACAACCTGCCAGGTCTTATCTGATATTCCCAAACTAAATATGATTCCTTAAAACCTTTCTCAACATCATTCTCAACATCATCATCCCATAGTTTCTAAAGGGCCATTGATTATGTTGGTTTAACTTTTACTTTAACTTTAATAAAATTTATATGCTGCCCAATCCCTTAGGACTCCGGGCGGCTTACAGAAGGGAGGGAGTTAAAATAAAAAGAAACAGTTTAAAAAGAAACAGTTTTAAAACAACACACCATACACTCCATCTGAGTGGGGCTGGACCTCATTCATGAATCACAGCCCCAGGCCTGCCGGAATAGCCAGGTTTTAGTGGTTTTTCGGAAGGCCAAGAGAGTGGTTTATTATACGCTTCCCCTCCCCGCCCCAATGCCACTTTTTGTGATATGGATCGAGAAGTTGTCCTCACCTTCACGGCTTTTCCTCGTTCCAAAACAACGTGAGAACTGAACTGTTTGAAGCTAAGCCAAATGTCCACTCGGTAAATAAAAGATACTCGGGGATTCCGGAAATTCTTATTAGTAGCCACAACCCGGAAGGAGAAATCCAAGGAGGAGTTGGGTGTCTTCGAGATCTCATAAGCACAACTGCCCTGGAAATGGGCTACGGCCCCATCAAATGTGAAGTAGTGAGGGTCTCCAGAAATTGTGCAAGTGGTCAGCTGATTCTTACAGCCCAGCTTTCCATCCTGAACTGCACATTGCTGGCCAGGATTGCAACTGGCTGGGACGCAGTGAAAGGCCGACGAATTCTCACAGCTGCACCTTTTTGTGCAATCAGAAAGCCAGAGAAGGTCTCCAACCTGAGGAGTAAATCAGCAGTGAATTAATCAAGATGAGACTTGAACACGATGCCCCAATCTGCCCATCTTATTCAGATCAGTTCCCTACCTTTGCAAAATAGGTGTCAGGCCTGCAGTCATATTCCTTTTAGGATCTTTGGCCTACCACACTCTCTCTTATTTTACTATGCTGTTTCATTAGTGGGGAATTGGGAGGGGGAATAGTAAGGAGTAGAATGTGTTGTTGTCAAAATAAAACATTCCTTTCTAGAAGCTCAAGGTCTTTCTTTGTCTCTGCACCTCTGCACCTGACCAGAAGTGGGTGGGTGGAAATGCCAGCGTGGCAGTGGAAGATTGGACCATGGGATGGACTTGTGAGTGTGTGGTGGTGGTGGTGGG